AGTCCTACTCAGAGGTCCCAAGCAGTTGGGTTTAGCTCAGTGGTTCTCAACCAGGGGTGATTTTTCCCTCCCCTCCTCCCCCAACCAGAGACATCTGGTAACATCTGGAGACATTTCTCATTATCATGAAGAGAGGAATGCTAGTAGGTAGAGGCAGGGATACTGCTAAACACCCTAGAATAGACAGACAGCTCCCCACAAAGAATCATTCAGCCCAAAATGTCAACAGTGCTGAGGCTGAGAAACCCTGCTGAATTAAATCACCAAAGAGCACCAAAGGGGCAGATCATTCTCTGACAAATGCCATCTACGCAAGAGAAAATGGCACCTCATAGCAAGGATCACAAACTTCCCAAGATTTCTGGCTAAGACCTCACCTTTTCAACACTAACTAGGAGGAATGAGGAGGTCTATAATTCATCAAAATTTGCTGGTAAAAACATACAGGGCTGAGTTTTGGGGGCAGGAGCTGGGGAGTTAAGAGGGTGTATGGTGTCTGCAAACATTTCAGACGATTGAAATCCTGTCCCCCACCTTACTGTGCTGACTCTCCTCTGCTCTCCTATCTCTAAAATAACAAATTCTTTCCATTCCCCTCTCCAAAGTAAATCTGGGCTGAGTAGGGCAGGCTGGGATGGACATGGCTCTTTTGAGGAAAGGCCATATGTTATAAATGTGTTTCTCGAGCTGTATAAAAGATGCTCATCCTCAGAGTTGTAAGTGTCATCTGTTGTGACCCGATATGACCTGATGTGGCTTGTGTCATGCATGAGTGAATTGCTTTAGTTACCTCATCCTCAGCTGAAAAGCATATGGTGAACAAGAAGCCATGGCCAGGTTTGTGCCTCACCAACCATTATATCTGGAAGCACGCTGCTAAGAAAATAATGTAATGTAGTCCATATACGTATATACTTGGAGCAGGTCAGGGGGTGAAAGCCTGGCTTGCCACAGCACCTTTGAGCCACTTCTCTTTCAGCAACCTGTATGTTTGGCTCCCTGAATTTCTCCAAGACACATCATAATATCCATTAGCAGATGCCTGGTGGTAGCTGAGACAGAGAAAAACTGACCAGCTTGGAGATTCAAGTCATAGGCACTTCTGGCAATTATTAATTTATTGCTCTTAGCTCTCAATCCACCCTTCTTTGCCCTGCTTTGTGATACTAGAACTGGGCCCTTTGAACATTTCTCCTTTGTAAGCTGGTGCAATGTTAGGCTTTGTCGATAGACCGCGCTGGAGAGACAAGCAAGGCATAGCAGAGGAATTGGCTTCTTTTCCTGGTTCAGGTGGTTTTCTTCTCCTTAGTGTGTCTAATAGCAGTGCGCATGAGGTCAAGTGGCACTCACTCTTCAACAAGTTTCTATGCCACCCAGAGGGCTGCTTCCTGTGACTCAGTTCTACCTGAAGGCAAGCAGAGGAATTGGCTTCTTTTCCTGGTTCAGGTGGTTTTCTTCTCCTTAGTGTGTCTAATATCAGTGTGCATGAGGTCAAGTGGCACTCACTCTTCAACAAGTTTCTATGCCACCCAGAGGGCTGCTTCCTGTGACTCAGTTCTACCTGAAGGCTAGCCCATCTCTAGGCGCCCCGGGCCACTGTTCTCCACCCTGACATGAATTCCAACAGCTCTGCCTGCCCTGGGAGCCGTCTTCCAGCAGCCTCCTCATCACAGATGGTTCTGGAAACCAGCACCTCAATCTTCCTCCCCACCCAAGGCCGAGCCTCCCTTCCCTGTCTCTCCTCCCCAGCTTTGACCCCACGTCATCACCTCCTCACTCCACTACGGTCTGGCTTCAAATGCAGCCCACCTGCATCCTATCCCACTCGAACTGCTCCTGTCAAAGTAACGAGGGAGGCACTGATGGCTAGGCCACAGGACACCTCTGTTCTTAACTTCTCTATTTCACAGTTTCTTCTGTGCCCTCATTGGACGGGGTCTAACCCTGTAGTAGACTGAATTATGTCCCCCCAAAACTCAATGAGGCTTGAACTGACTCCCAAGTTTTATGTATTAGAAACTTAGCCCCCACCGTGACTGTTAAGAGGGTGGGAAATCCTATTATGGTAATTGAAAGGTGGGGCCTTGAAGAGGTGATTGGATTGTAGGACCCTGCAGTAGTGAAAGGATTAAAAATGGTGGTCATGGGTGGGGTTCTGAGGGCTTTAAAAGAAGAGGAGAGCCTTGAAGAGGTGATTGGATTGTAGGACCCTGCCATAGTGAATGGATTAAAAATGGTGGTCATGGGTGGGGTTCTGAGGGCTTTAAAAGAAGAGGAGAGTCTCTCTGTCTCTCTCTCTGCTCTCTGCTTCCACCATCTTGCAATGTGAGATCCCCTGGGTCACAGTCGCCACCACCAGATGGACTTTGGACTTCTCAGCCTCAGAAACTATTAGCAATAAATGTTGTTTTTCTTTATAATTACCCAGTTTCGGGTATTTTGTTATAAGCAACACAAAACGGACTAATACAAGCCATTTCTCTTTAATATAAATCAAAAGACACCTGCTGGGACACCCAGCTCCTGCTTAATTCTAAGGTCCCCTGAGAACAGATTAGAGGATGATGTAAGGACAGCGCAGCGGTGGGAGCCATCCCAGACACACTGCCTGGGTTCCATTCTTGGTGCCACCGGTGTGGTGTGACTCTACCACTTATCACCTATGAGGCTGTGGTCAAGTCATCTGACCTCACTGTACCTCAGCTTATTTGTCTGAGAAACGGGATTAATAATGGTAGTTCCCTCCTAGGGCTATTGTGAGCACTAAATGAATGGAAGTGTGTGAAATGCTTAGCATGTAGTAAGCATCCAGAAGGATCAGCTGCTATTAACACCATTCCTATTACAATCTGAGTGTGAGATAGCACAGGGGCGACTGTAAAAGTGGCTGCTGAGCCTGGAGCCCCATTTGTGGGATGCTGTTCTGTACTTGGCCATCAGAGCTGTGCAGTGGCCTCAGTCCGGGGCTTTGTCCTTCCTGTGTCCCATCTCCATTTATACGTCAGGAGCTGGCAGTTGCTTAGTGGAGACTGGACAGATGCACAGAGGTAAAGACACTGCACTGTTGGGTCAGGGGAGTGGCCCACCTGTCTTGTTATGGTGACAATGAGATGCTCCAAGGCCTTACCAGGGGCGTGTGTTAGCTCTCCTCTGAAGCCTCTCCTGACCCTGTTAGACATAACAACCGCCCTGGCCTTCAGCCACCAGGGCGTCCATGCAGACCTTGGGTTGCAGCACCTGTAGAACTGTATTTCCCGTCTTCCTTTACCTGTCTGTGTCCCCTGCCTCAGTCTCTAGGCTGTGCCCTTCTCTGGGTTGGGACTGAGTTTTCTCCCTGTTGTTCCCAGGGCACTTGCACAGGGCCTGTCACTCGTGAAGGCTTGTTGATTAAGAATAAGTCAGTTACAGGTGACCCCTCCCCTCCTGCTTCCACGAAGCGATTTGTCTACGCTGCCTTGAGTCTGCAAAAGACCACCTCCAGGAGGACTCAAAGGGGCTCTCCATGCCCAGGTGAGGAAACCAGGTGGAGAGAATGTCCTCACACAGGGAGGTGGGTGCTCTCCTGGGAATCAGAGACTCCGACCTCAGGGTGGTTACTAAGTTGAGTGCCTGGCTGATGTGAAAGCGGCCGCCCCAGGGCTTCTTCCTGAAATAGGGGACTGTGCCTCTAGACTTGGTTTCATTGAATAATACGGCAAGGATATTGAAGGCTGAACATGAGAACATGGTGTAAATAAAGGAAACGAATGCTGGGGGGACAGCTGACTCTAAGGGGGAGGGACAAAGAAGAGGTCAGAAAAGGCTGTGCCCCAAGGTCTCAGGCTGAGCAGGTCACAAGTACTGCTGTTAGCGCTGCAGGTGGAGGGGTGGGTGCAGCCGGAAACTGCGTGCTACGGGCTGGGGACACTGTGTGGCATCTTTCATAGGCTGATGGACAAGCAGCTTATATGGGAGCTTTTCACTTGCCCAGTGTGAACTGGTATTTGGGGGCTCAGTATCATGCTCATCTGAGAATGATCGATTTTGCAGAGGAAAGGCCTGTGGGTCGCAGTGTTGGATGTCACCTGTGACAGCACCGGGAGAAAACGAGCACCAGGAGAAAACGAGCACCAGCCAGGGCTTCTTTCCAGGACCACGGGTCCCTTATTAGCCCTTTCTGATGTGAAATGGAACTCTGTCCCTGGGAGATATGCTGAGGGGACTCATTAAAGACATGGACACATGGAGAGTGAGGAACTGGCAAGGGCTCCTGAGAAATGCACCAGCAGGGGCAGTGACTTAACCCTTTATGGCCTGAGGTTTTGATAACAAAGCTGAGAAAGATGTCCTTACACGAGAAAGGATCCCTCTCATAAAACTACAACAGAGAGAGAAAACCCACCAGCAGGGGCAGTGACTTAACCCTTTATGGCCTGAGGTTTTGATAACAAAGCTGAGAAACATGTCCTTACACGAGAAAGGATCCCTCTCATAAAACTACAACAGAGAGAGAAAACTTTACAGTGTTATTTACACGATTGGTCAACCCTATCACTGTTCTCTAGTTTTTTGAAACAAGACTATAGGGTTTCTGACTTGGGGGACCTGGAAGTCCTCACCAAGGGCCATAAAAGGTTAAAAAAGCATTCAGGTCACATGGAGCACAGGAACACAGTCCCAGTGCCTTGAAACAAGACTATAGGGTTTCTGACTTGGGGGACCTGGAAGTCCTCACCAAGGGCCATAAAGGGTTAAAAAAGCATTCAGGTCACATGGAGCACAGGAACACAGTCCCAGTGCCGTGAAAATGATAAAGCCAAATTGCAAAGCCAGGGTCTAAGCACCTAGTTTGTTAGGAACACCACAGGCCTCTGCACAGTCAGAGAGAGGATAGGCGCTGGGACACCTCCAGACCTTGTCCTGGAATTCTGAGAGCTTTGGGCTCAGCCCCCTGAATTCAGGATGTTCAGAAAGCATTTTTGCTGGCTCTCCCAGGAATTCTTCCCTCATTCCCCACCTACCGAACCCTGGAGTCCTGTTGGCGAGACTGGAGTAGGCATTCCCACTTGGTGAGGATGTAGCCGGGCTGGAGAGAGGACTGTAGGAAGAGGGGTCTGCCGGGTAGGTGTGGCTCGTTCCAATCCCAAAGGGAGATGACTGAGTCTTGCTGGACTGAGATGGGATTTGCTACAATCAGGACAAAGCACAGAGATGGCAAACATCACCAGCAGGCCTCTGCCTTGACGTCCCAGGTGCAGCGGGCAGTGGCAGTGCCCGCTCTGGGTTGACAGAGACTCCCCATGGCCCTCTTGGCTCAATGTGCGGGACCCAAGAACTGCAGGACTCAGACCCTGGATCTTTAGGGCAGGTTTGGATGAATTTACCCCAGGGCCACACTGATCTGGGCCCTCTGGCTTCCAGTTATGGAGGCCTTGGCATTACAAATCCCAAGAACTCCCTCAGCCCAATCACACCCATGCTCACAGCCAGTACACGGGAGCTGGGTACATCACAATTGTGTGTTTTCACGCACCCCTGGCACAGGAGCAACCAGAGGTTGAGTAGTAAGGAGCTCGTTCCTGATGGTGTCTCTGCGTGGCTGACCCCTTCCTGCTAGCTCCCCCAGGGCAAGGCTGGAGGGGAAAGGGCTGCAGAAATGCAATTGTTGGGGACCTGGCTCTCCAAGTGCCCTTGGGGTGGCCGGTGCTTCTGAGTAGCCAGCTGCTGTTGGGGTGGTCGGCTCCAAGTAAGGGCCCTGACCCACCCTCAGAACTGGGATCCAAAGAAAGCACATCCTGGGGTGCTCTGCCACTGTGGACACTGGGGCAAAACCCTCACCCATGCCCATACCTGTCCTGGGAAGGGTGGACGACTCCCTGTCCATGCCACCTGACTCTGGTTCAGCTGTCGGGAGATTTGGGACATGTTCTGGCCTGTTGAAGAGGAGGACTGAATATCGTTCACTCCAGGCACATGGACCACTGAAGAGCTAGAAGAGAAGAAAAGGCACCGTCCTGAGGAAGTGTCCTCCCACCACGTGGGCTCTGCCCGGGGCTGCCTTCCTGAGCTCTCTCTCCTGTGAGCCTTGGAGCCCCTCGATCTCCCTCATCTCCCAGGGCTTCCTCCGCCACTGCTGAGCAGTCCCGCCTGTCTCATCTCTTATCTCCCCGCCTCAGTCTCCCCAGGGTCTGGCAGAGCTCCCCTCTCCGCAGCCCTAATCCCACCCCGGTGCATCCTCTGCTCTCACGGATGATTTGCTTCCCACAAAGAGAAGCTTCTTAGTACTCCTTTGTGCTCTGGTTATTTTCTTCCTTTGGGGCACCTATCAAGGTTTAAGAATTCAGGAAATAGGCTGCAGGCTGTCACTTATTTAAACAGAAAGAAAAGCCTATCAGTGGAAACCCCCTGGGATGGGGCCCACTCCTGCTATCCAGAGCACAACAATGCTTACCTAGTCCACCTTCGGTTTATCATCCATTTAACTCAATTCGTCTTTACTGGGCACCTGCCGTGTGCATCACACTGTGCTGGGGCTCTCTGCATGTCGTTCCAAGGCTCAATCTCAGACCCTGTCTTCGCTCCTAGGCATGTCCTGTCTGCTGCTAGCCACTTCTTCCAGGAGATTTTCCCAGCTGTGCTGATTATTCAATTAACTCATTAAAGATTGCAAGGTTGGGGGCAACTTTCATTTTGTTTCGGGCCCTTCCTTCTGCCTCCCTGGGACTAGCTCAGCATGCAGGACAGAGTGTGGGTGGCTCTGAATGAATCCAGTCGAGTGGAATGGGGCTAATCCCAGAGTGGAGGTGGATTTTCAGCTGGGATTTGAAAGAAAGGCAGGCTATAGACCAGTGGGGAAGACTGGGTACAGTTTTACTAATTGTATTATCTAATAGTTTTTCTGTACTATCCGATCCCTCTTAGAATGGGTAGAAACCAAGACTGTCAGAGACATTCTTGCATTGGCCAACATAAAACAAGTTCAGCTGCTTATGTGAAGGGAAACATTATTTCCATCTTCCTAAAATCAATTCATCACTTAAGGGCTCCTTTCTCATCCTCCTTCCTCATGAATGTATGACTGAGAGGACATTTTCTGATCCTTGTTCTCTGTGGTGGCCTCCTGTGACAGACTGATGAGGGCCGGCTGTAGCATTGCCGGAACAAAGTGCTGGCCCTTGTGTTCCACTCTCCCCAGGGGCCTCTGGGCTACAGCTGCCTGTCTTGGTATGGACAGGCTGGGGCCAAGGCTGGTTGGGCCATCGTGGAAGGACTCTGGGTAAAGGTGGATTGCTAGAGGATCAGGGGTACCTATGACTGTGTCTGGCACTAGAGAACACCATTCCACTCCTTCCCCATCCCAAACCAGCTCAGGCCCTTTAGATTTACAGGAAATTCTACCCACTCAGCAGGCTTTCGCCTTCAGCGGCATCCTTTAATTCATTCATCCATCCACTCATTTCATAGACTAGTATTTAGCAAATGTCTTTGCTATGCCGGGCTCCACATAGGTGGTTGGTGCTCCTGGGCCTCCTAAGCACACAGCCAGCTGGCTTCTGCCTGCTTTTCCCTCTCCATCACTGCCCTCCAAGGCACCCCATTCTTTTGTTTCTATGACAATAGCCTTGCCCAGACCCAGCACCTTGAGCTGGACCTTCTGTCCTAAGCACCCGTCTACAGCCTCACTCCTGCACTCCGCCCCACACCCCACTGACACCCCAAACTTTCTCTAAACTCCATTGCCTCAAGCTGCTCTTCTCCTGAATGCCATCAATAATCACATCCAAACTCCTGAGCACAGCCCCCCAGGCCCTGTAGTCTCGTCCTCCATTTCTCCCATCGTGAAGCCTCCCCAGTCACTCCTCCTCCCAGGCTTTGCTCAGCACATGCCACATGCCCGTGCGCCCCATCACTTCCTCAGGAGGCAAAACCTGACTTTGGCTTCCAGGATTAGCTGAGGAGTCATCAGACCTTCTCTGGTCGCACCACCTTGGGCTGCCCCTCGCTCTTGAACTCCTCAGACCCTCGTGGCCAGGGCAGTCCTATGACAGGGCCGTCTCTCGGGGTAGCCAGCCATGCCTGTCCAGTCCTGGTCTCTGCCTGCACCTGGAAGCTCTGTGTAGGTTCTGGCCAAGTTTGCCAGAGGCCAGACTGTAGGAAGACCTGCGCCCAGGTCTGGGATGCTTCTCCTGGTGAGCCTGGGGCATTTAGTGGGCACACACGAGTGCCTGCACACCCTCCTAGAGCACTGCTGTCTCTCCTCTGGCCATTCTCCTCAGTTCATCCTCCTGTTTCCCCAGCAGAAGCTGGAGCCAGGCCTTGCCTCCAGTGACACTGTCGGGACTTCCTCAACGATCCACAAGATGCCCTGGTGCTAAGAACCAAGCCTTGGGAAGGGTGGACACCCTGCCTGACCCTCCAGGGGCCCTTTAGGCTGAGGCCCAGAAATGATGGGCTGAGTCCCTTCTTCCTTGGATTTAGCAGTGGTCTCTGGGAACCAGGGGGCAGAGTACTTCCTGCTGCCTTGTCAGCTGTCCCCAGCTCCACCCCACCTGGGTCGTGGCTAGAGACCACCTTACTCCCTTCTCCTGTTCTGCTGCAGAACACAACGGCTGGTGCCTTTCATATTTGAGAACGAGTAACTGACACCGAGCATCCATGGCAACCCAGAAAGGGCTTGCGGAGCAGAACCGAGCCAGAATCCTCAGCACGGCCCAAGTCATGCGGGACGGTAACCCGTAACTAAAGTTTGCAGCACCCAGAGCCGAGCTCACAGATCCAGAACTTCCTTGGAGAGGAAGCATCTTCCCGCCCCCTCGCCGCCCTCCCAGCACCTACCTGAAGGCCTTCCCCGAGTGTCCGGCGGGGAATGGGCTTCCTTGAGGGTAGATCTGCTGGCTCCCTGCTGCAGAGGCTGAGCTCATCATCTTCTTCTCCGCTAGGAAAACCAGGGCAGGAATCACATGGGAGTGTTCCCTGCCCTGCAGAACCGGGGGGGGGGGGAGGGCTGCCCCGAGAACAGGTGCCGGGGTAGGATGGGAGAGCAGGAGGGCACTCACGGGGCAGCCCTCACCTCTGCACCTCATCTCTCCTGGGCCCCCCAGGATGAAGGAGCACTGGGCAGTTGTTCTCTGACTCCTGGGCTAGGCCACAGCCACCTAAAGGCAAGGCCCTTTCTGAGAGGTGGGAAGATGAAAAGAACTAATGAGAGTTCTTCCTCAGGCGCCACTTTGTCCAATCCTCCCAACCCCCTGGGGTGGGTATGTACAATAGGTCCTCGTCTCAGGGTGAGGAAGTGCAGCGGCAGGGGAACAGGACAGACTCAGACCCTCGGCTCCCTGGCCTTGAGCCCCAGCTCCACCCTATTTATCAGAAGTGTGACCTTGGACCTGTTATTTAAGCTTCCCCTGCCTCAGTGTCTCCAACTGGAAGAGGGCTCCTCACAGGACTGTGGTGGAAATTCATTGAGTTAATGGGAATAAAGTGCCTGGTAATGGAGCAAGCAGCATCTAAACGTTTGCTATCATTTGTTACAGATGAGAAAACTGAGGCGGGGCTTGTCCAAGGTCACGAGCCAGCAAGGAGGACCCAGGGCTTGAATCCAAGCCCACTGCTCTGCCCACTGCCCCAGACCTCCGTCCACACTCTGCCCTCCCCCAGCAAGCACTGCACTAGCCACAGATTGACCAACCAGAGGCAGCCCTGAACCTGTGCTCCTTGACCTTCCTCAAGGGTTTCTTTGAGCCTCATGCAACTGAAAACACTCAGGCCTGGCTAGGATGTGTAGTCACTGACACTTTTCTGCCACCACAGAATGGTGAGTGGAAGACTGAGCTCAGCCGTCTCGCCCTCAGAAGGAGGCTGCTGAAGTGGGCTTGAGTCCCAGCTGGGATGCTTAGCTCTCCCAGGGGAAGACAGTACTTTCTGCGGTGTTTTGAGAGGCAGGAGTGGGAACGTGAATGGCCACAGACTGCAGGCAGCAGGACTGTGACACCACAGTGCTCTGTCCCTTTCATCACTGGGTGCCTGGGGCTCTCTGATGTGCCCTCTCACTTCCCCAGAATCTCAAAATGTCTACATGTCCCATTCCCACAATCCCTGACATCCCCGCTTGCAACAAGATGCTGGAATGAAGGAAATAAATGTTAGATACACAGCAATTATCTTGTGCCTAGACAGACCCCACGTCTGCACCCATCTCTGGCTTGCTGATGGGGAAGGGGTGGGCAGAGAGGTAGGTCCCCCCATCGGAGTGGATGTGAGCAGTGACGGATGTTCAGGCTCAAGGGCTTGGGACTGAGAGAGCAGACGGCAGGGACCATGTGCCGAATCTCCCATGCATGTAAACCACCTCCGTGACATTTTCGTAAGAAGGAACAGTCACCTTGGTCTACTTTCTTTTGCTGCGGTGACAGCTGTGGGATCGTGGGAAATCCTTAAAGAATGGAAACAGCTCAGGCTCTTGGGGGGTGTGTTTCTAACCCAATCATAAGGCCTTGAATCTTGGGAATAAAGACTGGAATGGGGAAGATATGAGGCTAAAATTTGCAGAAATAAGGTAGGCTTAGGCACTTCTCTTGGCTCTAAATGCAATGCAAGCCATTTTTTTCCCCTCATGTGTTGTTTTCATGGTTTGGGTAAATAAGAAACATTTTTTTTTCTAACTGCTTTAGGAAATTTGTAGGGTATATATATATATATACATATATAAAAAAGATCTTTGATTCTATTTTCAGTCTTTATATCTTTCTCCATTTTATTTTATTATCTCGATCTACTTGATTTATTAAAGATGAAGAAAGGTGTACTGAGATCTTCACTACAATTTGGCTTTATCAGCATCTTCTTGTGTTTCTAATTATTTTGGTTTTCACAGGTTTCAATGTCCATGACATTTGTACCTTCGCTTTAGGTTACGTTTTCTATCTGTATAAAATATGCATCTCTGCCACTGCACGCACTGAATTCTTCTGTTTGGAGACACTGTCAACTGTACTTTCCGCCTCGGGTTTGCAGAGAGCCCCCAACTTCACCATGCACAATTTCAGGTTAAATAGTTCATTTTGTTTTGTTCTGGTGACAGCATATTCTGGCAGCACATTATTCAGCGGTTATTGATTGGGAGTCAACTTATTTTATTACTCGTGATATTCATACTTTCTTGCCACCTCACTTTATTTTTCTTCTGAGTATTTTGTGATTTGCCAAAAATTTTCTTTCATTTCCTTGGAAGTGATTTGGGAGTAAGACTTCCTTCCTTTCTCTCTCTCTTTTTTCCTCCCATTAGTGGTTATGTTTAAACGTACTCGAAGCTATATTTCTCTATAAATGTCAGAAATAAAATAGTATATACTGATGAGAAATTTCTATTTTCTACCCCTAGCTCAAAATATGTCTGGGTCTTTGCTGAATTAATTTGAGATTTTAGATTCTAGTTTTTCTTTATTGTTTAGAGCTTTTGTATTTTATAATAATCTTTACACTCATTCTAGGTATGACCAGTTTCATTTTTTATCACCATTGCTTTTCCAACCTATCACTTCCATTCTTGTGTTCTATATTTTGATTCATCTCACAAACAAGTGCAATCTTTTGCAAGTAATTTTTTTCAGAAAGTATAGGACGACAGTGCATGTCTGAGAACATTTTTCTGTTGTTTCCCATATATGACAGCAGCTTGGCTGGTGAGAAACTTTGGGGTCACATATTTTCCTTCCACATTTTCTAGTTATTTCCCCTCCCTCTGTTGCTAGACTTCTGGCATTTAGTATTTTGGAGATGTCTAACTCAAGATTTCTCTTTGTAGATAAGGTAATTTTTTTCTCTTGGACATTTGCAGGATTTTCCCTTAATTGTTCAAATTTTAAAAAGTAAATACAACAAGCCATGTCAACTGTGAGTTTCTTTAAAACTTTTCTGTCTAGTCTTCATCGAATTGTTTCAGTTGGAAGACCTAAGTTTTGCATTTTGAGAAAATTCACGTTTCTTTCCAATTCAATGACTTGGATTTCTGCAACATTAGTCTGCTTTGTACTGACTATGTTAAATGCTCTACTTCCCCCACCTCAAATAATTTGCTCTCAGAAATGCAATGATGTCCTCTGGGATCACCGAGACAAGAGAGACTGGAGATTTTCTGAACTTCCTCTTTTCGTTATAAAAACTCATTTCCAAAGAAAGACATTTGTTCTGATTCCTCCCACTTGACCTTTTTCCCTCTTCTTTTTTCTTGTCTGTCAGTTTTTTGTTTTTTGGTTTTTTTCCCTGTTTTGTCATCTTTATGGGAAAGTGTCTGCATTTGTATAATAGTAAAAGTTCAAATGGATTTCTCAGGGGTGCGGTGGGTCTCTGGTCAATATTTCAGGCTATGTGAGAGAAGAAAAACCTTCTAGATGTGCTGGTCTCCTCATGCCAGGTGAAGTGACCTTTCTCTGTAAAAGTCGAGGAAACACTGATGTAAGCAGGATATGCGTCTGCACAGCCATGGCAACCACCAGCAGGAAGTGTCTCTGTTGTGCTAAGGGGTCTGTGTTCTGCTGGGTGTTGGCAACCGGACACAGTGCTGTGCCGGCACCTACTGCCCTCAGCGGGGGGTGGCTCCAGCACCCTCCTCGCTTTCTGAGTATTCGGTCCTCAGCCAAGTGGGAACTGAGGCTTTGATATTCCAGCAATGTGCTGGCATCAAGAAGGCTGAGATGTGCTCCCTTCCCACTGCCCGCAGGCCTGCCCATCTTCCCCGTCTTCAGCCTGGTAGTCCTAGTGGGCTGGTACTGGGGTTCCCCGACAGTTACGGTTCTGCCTGTTTCCTTTTCATGAGGCAACTGGTTTCTCCCTTCAATTGATCCCAACTATACTGTATCTTGCAGACTTCCTTGACCGCATGGAAATGGAATCCTTTTTTTTTTCCCCCTGATTTTTAGTAGACAAAGACCTTTGCAAATTTTATATTTTGCTAATCTCAGGAGTAATTAAGTGAATGGTAGAAGGAGGCAGCTCGACAAGTGAGCTCCACGGGACACCTAAAATTACAACTGCACTGTCTTCTCTAACAGCAGTACTGACAAAGGTAGACGGCCTAAAAACAGCCACGAAGGGTAAGCCGAGCGGATTACAGATCATCCACGTGATGGAACTCTGCAAGTGACCAATATGACTTAGACTGTTTAATGACCTGGAAATATATTTATAAAAAACTGTCATGTGAAAAAAGTAAGCTGCCAAACAGTAGGAGCTGAATTCTACGTATAAAAAGAATAAATATGTGTAGAAAAAGACAGAAAGGACATCATTTAACAAGTTAAAAATGGTTATAATCAGGTGGTGGGACAGTGGATCATTTAAATTTTTTTTTAAAGTGCATATTTTTGGGGGCCGGCCC